AAAGCACTTTAGTGTGCACGAGTGTAGGCATTATTATTATCTACATTGTGTTTTGTTTTGCAGAAAAGAAGGATACATACCTAGCAATTATGTTGTGGCAGCAGAAAGCGAGCTAGAAAGATTTGAGTGAGTATGCATACTACTGTATTGCTGAATTAGATTCTTATATCACAGTAAACGTATAATATACAGTATAATTTTGATGCTGGGTGATTAATACTTGGTAAGTCAGTATATTTCTGATTATAAAAGAAATAAATGCTGAAAAAAACAGCATTCAGATTCATTTAAATATTCACATTTACTTCCACAGCTGGTATTCCAAGAACACAAATCGTAGCCAAGCAGAGAAGTTGTTAAGGACTGAGGTAAACTCTGACATAAATAGTGACAGATTTGACATGTTTGTGCTCCTGCAAATTAGTAATACACGCTCACATGTTGTCTCCCATTCTCAGAACAAAGATGGAGGCTTCTTGGTACGGGACTCAAGCAAGGCTGGGAAATACACCGTGTCTCTGTTCAGTAAGGGTGGCGGGTGAGTAAGTTAAACACAGATGGATGCTGCACCATTTATTTTCAATATCCACTGGTGCCAACCATGTGTGAACATATCATGAGAAGAACTGTTTGTAATGAAAGAGGAAACAGTGGGCAACACAGGCAGGGAGATGTAAATCTTTCATGCAAAACTTTGACTAATCTCAGTGCAGAATTTTTTATCTCAGAACTCTAGCACTGAACTACATTGTCGGTAACAGTAGAGTTACTCATGCATACCTGATGATTGGCATTCTCTTCTATGAAAGCCTCTTCCTTTTCACTCCACAGGGAAAGCGGTGGAAGCTGCAGACATTATAACATCTGCACCACTGCACAGGGCCAGTTTTATCTGGCTGAGAAGCATCCTTTCACCACCATCCCAGAGCTCATCAACTACCACCAGCACAATGCAGCAGGTTAATACTGTACATATGTGGATATGTGAATTTCATTGTACAGTGAAACACGTTTCCTAACTCTGCATATGATAAATAAACACTTTGACTTTGACCTTGGATCTAATAAAGCAACTTTCAGATTAATTCTCTGGAAGTAGTCATACAATAAGATATAATTAAAATTAGGATATAACAGCAGGAAAATGGAAATGATTCGGGCGGTTTGACAATATATTCAAGTAGAATATTCAAATATGGAAATATTAATCTCCCTCACTAGGTATGGTTAGCAGGTTGAAATACATTGTATCCAATCGGGCGCGGCCTCCATCAACAGCAGGGCTTGGTTATGGTAAGCATATCACTCTATCAGTATCAATAAATGCACCTGCTTTCATGGTTTTAAGTATAGTTGTGTGACTGACTATTTTTTGGCCATGAGCAGTAACCTCCTGAGGTCTTACTATTAGGTCACTAGGCAATCAGTGGAGATACTGTACATGCTGTAGCATTTGCATTGTGCTGCAGGTGTAAAAGTGCTCCTCCATTCTCTCTTGTTTGCTCCAGGTGTGTGGGAGATTGATCCCCGTGACCTGACCTTCATCAAAGAGCTGGGCACTGGTCAGTTCGGAGTGGTGAAGTATGGAAAGTGGCAGGGCCAGCATGACGTGGCCATTAAAATGATTAGGGAGGGCTCCATGTCTGAAGATGATTTCATAGAAGAGGCCAAAATCATGATGTAAGAAAAACTAAATTATTCTTACTTTGGACCGCCACTCTTTGCGGATCACTCAGTACACTTAATGATATAAATAGATTCTGTGTTGGTTTTGTGTGTAGTGTCTGTAACTTTTGTGAGAAAAACCAGTTCATAATATTTAACTTCTTTCTCCTTTTGCTCAATCCAGGAAACTTCGCCACGAGAACCTGGTCCAGCTATATGGCGTCTGCACCAAAACAAGACCCATTTACATAGTGACTGAGTTCCTTTCAAATGGCTGCCTGCTGACTTACCTCAGGGAAGGCCTCAAACAGCACCCAACAACTGTCCAGCTCCTAGAGATGTGTAAAGATGTCTCTGAGGGCATGACTTATCTTGAGTCCAAGCAGTTCATCCACAGAGACCTGGTGAGAGAGTGTGTAACTGTGCAAAACTACACATACAACATTCCTACATCACTGTGTCATGATGTGTTTAGATACACTGGGATTCTGTGTTTGAAGCTGAGTCTAAAGGTTTAATGATTACACCTAAATCAAGAGTATTGCTTGTTTGTCCTCCAGGCTGCCAGGAACTGTTTAGTAGATGGCAATGGTACTGTCAAAGTGACTGACTTTGGACTGTCAAGGTAAAATACTTCTCACACACACATAGCAGTTCATCGACACAAAGTTTGCTACTATAATCGCCTTGTTCTGTCTTTGGGTCAGTGGTGAAAAGTAACTCAGTACATTTACTCAAACGCCGTGGTTCAGTACAATCTAATGTACATTATATCAACTTAAATATTAGAGCGTATATAATGTAGTCAGAATTCTTTACTTTTAGATTTTATGTAAAGGATCTTCCATCACTGTCTTAGGTATGTCTTAGATGATGAGTACACAAGCTCAGCAGGTTCCAAGTTCCCTGTTCGCTGGTCACCTCCTGAGGTCCTCCTCTACTGCAAATTCAGCAGCAAGTCGGACATCTGGGCATATGGTGAGAAAACATAATGTGGACATAATGTGGACTACAGTAGGCTATATTTTTCACTTATGTCAGTTCCCTACTACATTTTTGGTAGTGCAATCCATATGTTTTCACAAACTCTGAATTCACATCAGTATTAAAGCATCATAACTATTTTTTCACCATATTAACAATTTCTTTAAATACACAGGGGTTCTTATGTGGGAGGTATACAGTTTGGGGCGGCTTCCATATGAACGCTTAAACAACACGGAAATAGTGGAGCAGGTGTCCCGGGGCCTGCGTCTCTACCGCCCCCAGCTGGCCAATGAGAAGGTCTACAGCATTATGACAAGCTGTTGGCTCGAAGTGAGTGAATTTTGTATTGTACTGTGGGCACTGCTGGAATGTACTGTACTGTAACTAAACACACTTACTCAAGTAATGTACCTAGGTACAGTTCTCCAGTACATTTTGGAGGGAAATATTGTACTACTGCATAATGAGCTATTTAACTTTTAATACCTTACTTGATGCTATACTTGTGTATATTTACTAAATTGTGAACATAAAACTTTCTCCACTAAGTATTGCTATGTAAGTAAAAGATCTGTCTCCTTCTTCCCTTACTGTCTGTGGGCTGTGTTATGACAATGAACTTTCACAGACTGATGACAGCATGTGAAAATATTTTCTGAACACCGATCTCACAGCTTCTCTGTGTTTTGTTTTCAGAAAGCAGACGAGAGACCCACCTTTCAGGACCTGGCGCTAACTGTTCAGGATCTGCTGTACGAGCTCCAGTAGATGCCAAAATAATCCGCAGCGACACACCGACAGTTCTCTTTCCGTATGTTCCTGGAAAGTTAACACAATCATTAAACATAGCTCAGAGATTGAACATGGGACTGTGCGGTCACATCAAGGTCCTCTGTAATGTGAATATGTGTATGTATATGTTAATGCCACTATAAGTCATTGATTAGAATAGTCTTCCTATGACATACAGTCCTATGAAACATTTAAAATATATATATTTTATTGAAGGCTATTGGCTTAAAGAATATCATCTCTCTCCTTATTGTATTGTGGAGTCACTGTGCAAGGCAGACACCTTTGCCAGTTGAAATAAGCTTTGTAAGAGCATTTGTACTGCACAAATAAAAGCCAAGTATGCCTTTAAAATGACTGAAACATTGTGTGTAATGATCATTGTCACACATAACAAGGGTGACATTACATTTTTAAAAGCAAAACACATATCAAACAATAAACTGTACATTAGTAAAGTACAGTCTGAATATACATCATATGGTAAGATACATTAAGGCACAAAGAAGAGAAAAAGACAATAAATAACATTTATAATAAAATTAAGTAAAAATAAGGTTCAACATATTTGATCTAATGTCTAAATTCAGTAATGAATAGTTCAAAGATAGGTGAAAAGCTGGACTTTGCCAAAAAGACTGTTTATTGATATCTTTGGCTTCTATAATCACTGCAAGGGTTGGACCCCTTTACAAAACCTACATTTGTTGATTATATCTATAAATATTGAGGTGTAAGATCTTGTGGCATATATACTGTATTATGATCAATTTTGCTTATTACAAATTTCTGTGGAAAATCCATTTTATATTCAACCAAATATTAGAAAAATCGAACTTCTACACTCATTTCCCACACGGATTCTATTTTGTTTTACTGTAAATATATTTCCTTAGCCTATATGTTTACTAGTACATCAAGTGTTTTTAATGTCTATTCAATTTACAAACAGTTAAGGTCCGTTCAAAGGGCAATTTCATCAACAGCACAACAGGAATCGCAATTATAACCACGTGATTTCCTTTTTATGCAGCAGCAAAACCTTTAGAGGTAAGAGGTGAAAAGAAGACATTAATTCAAGATGGATTATGAAATATTACGTATGACGTCAGGACGTCAGAAGAGCGCGCTCTATGATTGGTCGAACTAATGCCTGTTTCCCGTCGTCCATTCGCACCGCTTCACACACGTGAAGGTCAGTAATAGAGCCGTAAGGCATTCATAACTACAAAGATATTGTTCTTAAGGCCTATTTTTAGCAGAATATGGAAGGCCAGGGATCGACCGCCGACCCTCAGCTTCAGCACTTCATCGAAATTGAGTCTCAAAAGCAAAGATTTCAGCAGCTGGTGCATCAGATGACTGAGGTTTGCTGGGTAAGTTGAGCTTTAAGCTAGCAGCCAGTTCTGCGGCTCGTTTCTTACATATGCGTCAGTAGCTGTAACTGTTAAGTTAGCTAGCTTATCTTACACCGAGATAAAAGCTGTAGATGTGCACCTTATTTGCTGCGACCAAATAATGATGTCCAAACGTATAGAGTAAGTTACAACAGTCAACATGTAGCAATATTTGTAATCCCATTCGTTCTCCACCGAACAAATCGGAAAAATCAACAGTAGCGGAAGTCGTATCTTTTATACTTAAGTAAATGTACTAATACCACGCTGTAAAATACCCTCCTAGTAAAATTCGAGCTATTTTAGTAAAAGCATAATGCCTTGAGTATAATCGGTGTAGAGAGGCTCCTGTGGTTGTTGCTATATATTTTTTTATTTTATTTACTAGCCTCTATAATTAACTCTTGCAGTTGGTTGAGGTGCAACTCTTTTGCTCTTAAGGCTACAACTAATGATTATTTTCACTTTTAACACAATAAAGTGTGCTGTTGATATCTGCGATCCCGGCCCTGGTATTAAGTTGCATCATGGAAAACCACGACCTCTTGTGCCGAATGCGATGTACTACTTGTAAACCGGGTGTGAGTCGCTGCTTCTCCCCTAAACTGATCTTTCTTTCTGTGTTTCCAGGAGAAATGTATGGATAAACCCGGGCCAAAGCTGGACTCGCGGACAGAAGCGTGCTTCGTTAACTGTGTGGAGCGATTTATTGACACTAGCCAGTTTATTCTAAACAGACTGGAGCAGACGCAGAGGAACAGGGGGTCATTCTCTGACACCATGTCAGACTGACAACTATTACTGCAAGGACAGACGAGACACGTGCGCACAGGTCCTGCTTTGTGCTGAGGCGGTTTGGTCCTGACACCAATCTCTGTACAGAATGGTGCCAAACTGTCCAATCAACTGGAACAAAGTTTTGATACAAGTGCCTGAGATTAACACGATGAATGGAAGTCATGCAAAATTCAAGGGTTTTATGTTCTCCGCTTAAGTGGGATAGGAGTGTCGCAGAACACTTGGATTCTGGTTTGTTAGCACCTATGACCTTGTACTGTTTTTTGTTTTGTTATCAAATTCAAGTCACTTCACTGGTGAAACTGACCTTGATTGTGTCAATATCCGCTGCTGTACTGCAAGTAGTGAACTGTGGAAAGTGGACACATCTAGGTCATTTGCCTTGCAAGTTGTTCTTCACAGCCACGTGGACTCCACCACACACTGTATTTTAAAATAACTATCAATGACTGAAGAGATCAGTAGCTAAAGGTTCTGGACTGTACGCAATAAACAAAATTATCAATTCCTTTGGGGAAGTGTAAAATAATGTAGTTGTGTTTTAATCAGCATTATCAAACACAAAAATACTTAGCTGAGATGTTACAGCTTGGCACATATTGGTAATTTATATGGAAAACATCCTTTGGTGTAGTTTGTATAAAGGTACTGCACTAAATTAACCGGGGAATTCATTTAAACCTGTTAATGAACATATAGAGCAAATAAACGCTTTGCCTTAACACTGGTTGTACAATGATACATTTCTACAATATACTGTATGAAAAAGGTTGAAAGTGCAAAACTATAAATGTTACCATTCAGTAGCAAAAGCACAATCTGGCTTATGCAGGCCAATATTAAATATTGAAAAAAATTTAAATGTACCATACAGTTTTTTTTAAGTACACAGCAGTAAAACAGACATTCACCTGGCTATAAATATTTCCAATCAAAGGAAAAAGATGTGGACCCATCAATCACATACAACTAGGAACGTAAATTTCAGTTGGATTCCAGTGTGCCGATAACAACATTATGCAAACGTCAAGGCAACTCTGTACTTCCATTGCATGCCACATTGTGTAACACAACTCAAAATTCAGATTTAGTAAGCTAGCCTGTCATACTGTATAGCTGCGAAGTGCATCAGAGCTTCAGAACTGCAATAAGAAATACTGACAACTTGGTCCTCTTTAAGGAGCACTCTGGTGTATAGCCCACCCTGCCTTTGAGCCTCCTTCCTTTGCTTGGGAGTCGTGGCTAGGAAGAGCCACATAAGGCTGGTGACTCCATGGAAAGCCCTGAGGACCCTTCCTCAGGTAGAGAGGGAGGGAATCCCAGCTAAATGTAATGTCCTTGAAGGCATGGAGGAGGAAGATCCCCAATATGATGATGAGGAAGCCACTAATTGTTCCCACTACTCCATCAGTAGCCATACTCAACCATTCTTTAAACAGGATAGCTGAGCAGGCCATGACAGAGGTGGTGAAAAAGACGTAGTAGATGGGTGTGACAATGGAGGTGTTAAAGATGTCGAGGGCTTTGTTCAGGTAACTGATTTGAATGCTGATGCAGACCATCAGGCAGATGACTAAGGACCAGAACAGGGGTTCCTTCAGCACTGCTGTCCCAGCAAACAACTCCTTAATGCCAATGCCCAGGCCCTTGACACAAGACACAGAGAGGGAGCCAATCACAGAGCAGATCAGGATGTAGACCAGCACATTCTTCTGTCCGAACCGCGGAGCCACAGCAAAGATAAGAACCAGGCTGCTTCCCACAACGCACACAGCAAACACAATGAAACCTAATGGGAGCATTGAGAGCATTCGAGAATGAGTTAGTATCCTAATTAAAAAAAAAAACATCCAACAGTTATCTGGGATTTAGTTTTCAGTGTGGTTAATCATATCATACAAGTCATTTCATACTGTGCAAGCTCTGTCTCTACCTGGGTCTCTGAGCTTCTCAGCCATGGCGCTGAGGGAGGCAACTTCCTCTTCCTGTGGGGCATGAATTACCATCACTGTGGAGCCCAGGACGCACAGCAGACAACCAATCTTTCCGTGCACATTCAGCCTCTCATTCAAAAAGTAAGCAGAGAGCACAGCACTGGAAAGAACAAACATTGTAGGTACAGTGTGTTAGCACTAATATTGCTACTACTGATTTAAATGTATACGTTTTTAACAAATCCATAGAAAAGATCCAAATGAATAGATCCAGTTCCTTCTTGGTGAAGAGGTACATCTTTAATTACATTAATTAGTCACAAATGTTTACTTTCATTTAAAAGGGCTAAATGATTTCCTTAACCAGCTGGGCACTGTAGTTTGAAACTTTGCTGGAAGAGGGGTAAATACTAGATTTGTTAGGAACTAGATTTGGTGCTCTAGTTCTGGACATGAGGGTCTGGGCCTCCCAAGGGGCTTCAAAATAAATCTGAAGGGGTCAAAAGATGATAAAGAAATAATTATTGTTTCTCTAATGATACTTTTTTCTCCAATGCAGCAGTCTGAAAATTAACTTGCACTTTGTTTGAAGGACCCTAAAGGAGTCCCAAGGTAAATCTGACTGGTCACCTGATGATTTGTAATGTTTTATTACATAACATAGTTCTTTTTGCTGACTTTCCTCCAGATGACTACGTTTGAAACATGTTATCCCTTTATACACTAGAGCTTAAATTTTTAAAAGGTCACAAGCCAAAATGGTCGGGAACCACTGCCTTTGTGAGTATTTATGTCAGAGTCTATGTGAGACTGACTCAAAATAAATTACAGTGGTTAAAAAAACAAAACTTTTAAGACAGAGTACACTCAGGCCCCCAGGAGGAGTCACCAGTGTGGCGGGTGCAAATGCATATGCAGCGAAGTTAGCCGCCTCTCCAGCTCCCACTAGAACATGTGAACATCACCATCAGTGTGCACAAATTGAAAAATTATTCTCCTACAACCCACGGGTGCAAATGTGCTCTTTGTACTTCAAAGATGGCGTGGGTACAGCATCTACTGCAATGTCACCAGTGAAAATACCAAACCCACAAGAGCCTCATTTCTCCTTTTAACAACAAAGACCACAGTGTTTCAGGGCATGGCTGGTGAGCAGTGCAACTAGATTTAAAAAAGTCACCTATCTTAATAGGAACATTAAGTGTGTTACTTACTTGAAATCAGTCCTGCCCACCACAGCCATTCCTTCAGGTAAGCATACCCCCCTTGACCTGAAAGATATGGAAAACAAAACTGCAGTAAACGTGTCTCACTGCAAGTAATTTCTTACTAGTTTAAAGTTTAAATGTTAACAGCTTGTTTTAACAGCAACAACATATGTGTTACCAAATCTAATTAATCCTAAATGAAGGCCCTTATGGTAGGTAATATCCTGCCTCATTATTCTGAGATTCTCAGTGTTCCATTATATCATAGCTTCCATTTCAGTGAGAGCTACAAAGTGCCCAGTAACTTTTTACAGTGGGTGAATGCAGCTGAAACCATATTTGTACTGGAGTGTTTCCATTTTATACTACTTTAAACATACATTTTAGGATAATACTGTAATACTTTTACTCCGCTACACTTTACTTTGCAGATAAATATTTTACATAGAAAACAAGTATTAATTAATGTTATAAAATCTTATATAATGTAACTGTTGTTGATTGAACTGTCCAACAATGTACAGTTTAAAACAGCCCCAGCTTGACCAACTGGCTCAATAGCAGTACATCACTAATAACTCTGTAATATACTGACTCATTTTTATTCTACAGGAGTGCTATAGTTCTTACAGATTGTTGTTTTAAATTTGTGCAATGTTAACTTTTGTTTGTTTATGTATTTTGGCATGCTCTGTTTTATCTGTTTGTTCTATTGTGAAGCACTTTGAGCTCCCGTCAGTGTTGTATAGTGCTATATAAACAAATAAATAATAATAATAATAATAATAATAATAATAATACAGAGCTAAATATATTCGATTCGATCATGAGAGAAAATAAAACTGAGAGATTGATAATGAAAATAATTGTTGTGGCCCTAGCATACTTTCACTTATGAAGTATTCTGAAAGCAGGACCTTTGTAATGAAGTGTTTTTGCATTGTGGTATAACTAATTTTGCTTCAGTAAAGTTCTATCATTATTTCTCCACCACTGACCTTTTAGGATTTTTATTTTCATAAAAATATTTTGGTAAGAGCTTACAATACCTGCTCGCATTGAACCCTTGCTGGCCAGTCGTAGGAGGCCTTTCTTCTTCAAGATGAAACTCCCTCCGATAAAAACACTGGAGCTCACAGCCAGAGAGAGACCGATGTAGAAATCCATCCGGTTCACTTCCATCTGAAGCAACGGATAATACAAAACTGTTCCCATAACCCAACTTCCCATATGAGAAAAACCAAGCTTTCGGGAACTTTTTAGGAGTCTGGCAACTGGCACCCCATGTTTAACATCTCATGATAGGCTCACTCTCTACTGCTACGAGGCTGAAACTGGATTTCTGGACGACTAGAGGTGCCAAGAAATAGAAATCTACTTTATCTTAGATCTTAATTTTGATTTAAACATAGTTTAATTGCCGCTTAACACTATTGTTAGTAAAATGTTTACCTCTGCCGTCACGTCGTCAACTCCATACGTCGTTGTTTCCCGAGCTCTAGGAAGTGGATTGGCTGAGCGTTACCCGGTACTTCCTGGTAATTGCTTAGGAAACTGAGAGGGAGGGGCTTCTCTCTAGCCCTATTGGATTATAGAACTCGGCAGTAGGATGAAATTAATGGTGCGGGATTAGGAATAAGGTTAAGGTATGAGACGGCGATCTTTTTAATTCATCAGAACGAAAGATACCCGAAAGATACCCCCATCAAGATAGGTTAAACGTCGGAAAAGGTAGCAAAGGGAGAGTCCTCGCAACCTGATTGGTCGTTTGTGTTCGTTGCGTTACTATGCAGCGGTCTGATTGGTCGGGGGATTGCAACCGGAAGCTGGGCTAACCTTGACAAGCAAGTAAAACACATGTGCTACAGGTTTAGGGGGGAGAAAATTAAAAGACCACAATTTAATAAATTTGGTCATTTGAGACTAAAACGTTTATCAAGACTGCTTCAAGAAATTCAGTTAATCTTTCGGATAGCGGTCACGTTTCTCTGCTAATCCGCTTACTATGAAAACTCGTTATCTTTTAGCTAGCTAAAGGAATAACTACCACTAACCAGACCTTTTCTGTACTCTCTGGAATAACCATTTGGCAGACTTCATGTGGACATCGTCTGTTATCCAACGATGAGGTTTCCTTTTCTTTTTATCAGCAGAAGGTGGAACGTTAAGGCTGTTCACAGACCGCAACAAAGTCCATGTATATCATCAATTTTAGCTCTGACTAGAGACCAGAGGTTCTTCGTGTTGAGATACACCAGCACCAGTCTGTTCAAAAACGACAGGAATCACTACATAACCACTCCCATCTTCTATGTTAATGCTTCACCTCATTTAGGACACTTGTATTCAGCTGTGATAGCTGACTGCTTACACAGGTATAAACTGCTCCAGGGATTCGACTCAAAGTTTGCAACAGGTACATTTTCCATTGACCAAAATATATTGCAGGTGATGTTGACAATCTGAGTTTTGTAACAGTGTAAATCACACAATTATTTGTGATTTTAAATCTTAATTGGACACGTGGAAACAAAATATTTACAGTTTTTCCAAATTTAAGAATGAGCTTTTTTCTGTTTATTTAGGCTTCTTGGGTGCTTGAGCGTTTTTCACCTTTTGGCCAAATATAATAAAATCCTATTCAGGGCTGAAGCAATTAGATCAATCCATCAAAAGAAACCTAATCAGCAGCTATTTTGATGATAAATTATTTGTTTCATTTATATTTAAAGAAGAAGCATTTTCTGGTTTAAGCTTATTTAATGAGGTTTTTCTTTGTCATGTAGGATGGTCAATGAAACATTTGACCGTGGGTGGGATAAAATAAGCAACTTCACTTTGAGCTTTGGGAAGCTGTGATCATCAGTTTTCACAGTCAGTTTGACATTTTACTGACAAAATTAACTGATAAAGAAAATAACCTGTAGATCAATTGTTAATGAAAGTAATCATTAGTTGCAGCACTAATCATGTTACCTTGCATTTCAGGCACAGATGAACATGGCTTGAAAATCCAGCAAGCTGCTGAAGCAGCAGGAAAAGATCCCCTGACTTTCTGCACGGATGTGTCTGAGAGATTCAAACATCTCTTCAGCAGCTGCAACATAGCGTACACAGACTACATAAGAACCACTGAGCAGAGACACCACCGAGCCGTGGAGCATTTCTGGTCAGTGCTCTGGAACAAAGGGCTCATCTACAAGGGGAGTTATGAGGGCTGGTACTCCACACAAGATGAAAGCTTCCTCATGCCTTCGCAGGTGGACAATGCTGTGGACTCATCAGGGAAGGATATCAAAGTGTCGCTGGAGAGTGGGCACAAGGTAAGTAGAGTGAAACTGAGGTCATAACCCAGGTAAGGTTTCAGTGGAGATCAATGCAAATTTTAAAGTGGTGCTGCATGAAATTCACACCAACTTCTCGCCCACTATTTTGCAGGTGGAGTGGATGAAAGAGGAGAACTACATGTTTCGTCTGTGTGCGTTCCGGTCTCAGCTGCTCGACTGGCTCAGAGGAAATCCCAGGGCTGTGCAGCCGGAGCGTTTCTACCAGACTGTTCTCCAGTGGCTGCAGGAGGACCTTCCTGACCTCTCAGTGTCCCGGCAGAGGAGCCGTCTTCACTGGGGCATCCCAGTCCCTGGTGATTCTGAGCAAACCATCTATGTGTGGCTAGATGCCCTGGTGAACTACCTCACAGTAGCTGGCTACCCAAATAAATATGACCAGTGGTGGAGCAGGGCCCACCACATTGTAGGAAAGGACATCTTAAAGTTCCATGCCATCTACTGGCCAGCTTTTCTACTAGGAGCTGGACTGCCACTGCCACAGACAATATATGTGCACTCTCACTGGACTGTGGGGGGGAAGAAGATGTCTAAAAGTCTGGGTAATGTAGTAGATCCTCTCGAGTGTTCACAGATTTTCACAACTGATGGTATGAGGTACTTCCTTTTGCGTCAGGGTGTCCCAGACTCAGACTGTGACTACACAGATGAGAAGGTTATCAAGCTGCTCAACGCAGAGCTTGCTGACTCTCTGGGTGGTCTGCTTAATCGCTGCACAGCTCCAGCTCTTAACCCAGCTCAGGTCTATCCTTCTTTCTGTCCTCAGTCCTTCCCAAGCAAACAGGGAGGACGTACAGTGGTTGAAGACTACCACATGTTGGATGCTGTTAAAAATCTCCCTGCTACAGTGGAGCAGCACTATGAGCGCATGCACGTGTACAAAGCTCTGGAGGCCATTACTGCCTGTGTGAGGCAGACCAACAAGTTTGTTCAGCGCCACACACCATGGAAGCTGGACAGGAGGGACAGCAAAGACCAACGCTGGCTAGACACCATCATCCATGTCTCCTTTGAATGCCTGAGGATTTATGGCACACTTCTCCAGCCAGTAGTGCCAGAGATTTCTAACAAGCTCCTGTCCAGACTCGGGGTGCAACCAGGTGAGAGGAACTGGGCAGCGCTAAAGTTCCTGCTAAGGTATCAGGGAATGGACTGTCCATTTGAAGGGAGAGCACTAGGGTCTGACTCTGGAGTACTGTTTAGTCGTGTGGAAAGACAGAATGTAGATAAAGAAAGGAAAAAGACAACAAAAAAGGTAGCAAAATTGAAATGAATTTTGTTCCCTGCACAATGATTTAATCAATCAATAAAACTACTGTTGCTCATTTAACAGCTGTTTCCACTCAGTCTTCTCAAGACTCTGTGAGGTGTACAGACTACCTGTTAACACCTGGGCTTTTCATGTTATGACAACCGTCACTTGCCAATTATGTCGCCGTGCTAAATTGAGGCAAACACTAAAATTATAAAAGTTGTCTGACTGCTGTGCTAATTAGTTAATTGGAATTAAAATGCCTCCAGGTACTGGCTGTACACATTGACTTGGCTTGTTTAATAAAGGAATGAATACTTCTAAGATACCTGTGGTATAAACTGTCATATTGGGATTTTCACCCTTTCACTTATCCACTGATGTTATGCATGAGAACAGCTTGATGTGAGAGGACAAATCCTCTGATCGCCACTTTCATGATGAAATGTTTCATCGACAGCATACAGGCAACCAACACAAGTACAAGACATAAAAACTGACATGGGTTTTTAATGAGAAATACACGAAACTGAAAAAACTTGTACAAATTGAAATAAAATTAAAAAATTGCATTATTCTTATAATTTCTGGTATGTTTTTTTTTTTACATAGACTTTTCCATTATTAACCATTATCTGTCCTATTTCAGTGCTTGATCAGTCCTTCGATAATCCATAATTACACGACTGGAAATGTTTTCTGATCGTGGCCTCAGCGGTCATGATGGGGTTTGGTGGTCCTTTGTGCTATGAACAGTATTCCCTCCCAAGAGCCTAAACAGGACTGGACACATTCACCTGCCAGTCTATAGAGCTGGGATGACCCAGATAATGAGAGACTACTGTATCCCCCACATGCTAAGCAAGCAGGATCAGTAATATGAATTGGTGCCTTGTCCTGGTTGTGTATCTGAAAAATGGAGAAAAGGTTCATTTAAACAGGGAACTCAAAAAAAAAAGGTGGGATCACAGAGTGAGAAGACACAGAGAATAAGGTTTTGACTTACTTGAAAGTTGCTGTTGCAGCTGTCTGACCAGAGCCGCTGTCTGCTGCTGCTGCTGAGTCTGCTGCATTCCGTGTCGTTGGAACTAAAATAGAGATATGTACATCATTACATAACAATTTCAAGGGGGTGTGCTTCAGCCCATTATCTACCAGTCAGATTCAATAGATGACTGACATTTTAAGCAGCAAGTGATTTCCATTCATTTTAGTACGCAGTGTCAACTTGCAGTGTTTAAAATGTGTCTAGACAAAGTAAATCTATCAGTGTCAATAATCACTGCTCACATCTAGTGGTGGAGGCAGCAGTGTCCATGGGTTTAAGCACTGGCTACCAAAAGCATCATTCACAAGCTATGTATGATTATATACAGTCATTACACATGTGGTATGCATGTTTTTGCTAAGTGACTAAAACATGTAAAATTACTAGTGTGATATTTGAATGCTTAGAATAAATCAATTCATCTCTTCAATGACATGGAGTTTAAAATAAAACAAAACCTAAGTTGATGTCTCACTACCCTACACTGTATATTCCTATAATAAATTTTCTATCACACAGACAGTGCTTTTACAAATGAGCCATGTCAGGTACTGTCTCTCGCTCACTTTACACAGACAGTATAAACTGCTAAAAACTGGGCTACTGAAAGTTCCTGTCACCTGGATGGGACCTACAATAGGTTGCTGGGGGGGCAGTGGCTGCATGCCCAGTCCCTGATTCTGTGCCTGGCCTGGTGGTGGCACCGCGGACACCTGCTGTTGCTGCTGTTGCTGTTGTGGAACTTGCTGTTGAGGAGGAACCTGCTGAGGCTGGACTTGCTGCTGTTGCTGCTGTTGTTGTTGTTGTTGTTGCTGCTGTTGTTGCTGTTGTTGCTGTTGCTGCTGCTGCTGAAAAGAGAGAACAGTTGGTATTAGAGATTAGGGGGGGGTGGGGGGGTATGCACGCAGCGGCCCAGGGCCTTCGGCTCTAAACACAATTTCATTGTATGTGTCACAATGTTATAATAAAATAAAGCTTCTTCTTATAAACACTCGTGACTCTAAATTATTTAGTGTTGTACATTAAGGCAGTCTCTTGCATCATTTTATAGTATTATCTCTCATTCACTTTGTGATATTAGCTCAACAGCAATGGCTAAGCCAAAAGGTCTGCAGAAAGCAGCTGAGGCAGAGCAATCACACATTGTATGTGTCAGTTTATCGCATGTTTCCTCTGCTTTAGTTTTGACGAGGGTGTCATAAGACAATGTTTCACTCTTTAGGTTTGCTCGTTTGGCATTCTTTCAAACCACTTTTATAGACTGTTGTCCATGCTTGTTTCTTTATTATTTTCACCAAATCATAAATAAAACTAGCCTATATTACTGGCAATGGCAGTTCCATAGAGTGGGGTCAAAATATAACCACACAACCTGAATTCCCAGTACTTGTAAATCAGACAATGCAACAAAAGTAAATGAGCTCTCTCGAGTTCACAGTCAGACTTGTCTGTGTCCACATACCGATGTACTCTTTAGTACACAGCTTCCAATTGAGAAACACTGGGTAGTTTCATAATTAAAAAAAGGCATTGCACACAAAGGGCTTCTTTTTCCCTTTACAGGTTCCTCATGAAAACAGGTAAACTTAGCCAAAACAGAGAAAAAGTAACGTACTCTGAGTGCTTGCTGTCTGATGTACTGCTGCTGCTGCTGCACTGCTTGCTGCTGCTGTTGCGCTGCTTGCTGCTGTTGTTGTTGTTGTTGTTGCTGTTGTTGTTGTTCTGCCATCATCTGATTGGGCCTCAGGCCTGGGTGGACACTTTGGCCTCCCATGTGACCGAGACTGTGCATGATAGGATTCTGCTGGAGGGGCTGGTGGGCAAACCTGTGGTATACCAGACAGGAAGAAATATGAGAGCAGGTGGCAATGTAGTTAATATACAAATGAACAAAAACCTTTCTCTGCAAATCTGAATGCAGCAAAAGTTAAGAGGATAATACTGAACAGCTAACAAAGCAGCAGCCTTCCTTACAATATTGTACTGACCTCTGTGCAGTCTGCATGTTGTGCGCGTAGCCTGGAGCCTGCTGGTGAACGTAACCACTGGGCCTCTGCTGCATTTGCCTAAGAGGATCTACCACAGCCGGGTTGGCGCCAGGATGGGTGCCCTGGAAGTTTTGGTTCCCATAGGAGGAAGGAACTATACCACCACTTTGGGATGGATGCTGCTGCATCCCCACGTGTGAACCATATGTGGTATAGCCCTGATTTATGTTCTGGACGGAGGCAATGTTAATGATTACAACCAAGACAGAGAAGCAGACCATTACTGATTGTGTGTCTAAGTTAGGAGTGTTCATGTAGTGAACTCAGACAAGACCATATTTGAGAGGTATTCCTATGTGGATCACAAACATTCAAACCATTTTCTGAAAGTGCTTACATGGAAAATAGATTTTTACAATTCTTCAGCATTAATGTGTGTAACTAAAGGTATCATACAACATATTTTCAGAGAACAGAGGTGTCAGATGACCTGCGCATTGCTTAGGAAAAGAAAAGCAACAAAAATAGATGTACCTGTGATGCCTGCATTGGAGTGTATGGTTGGTTGGGTGCTTGTCTCATTTGCCCTATCATACTATGATTCTGAAAAGAGAAATATAAGAAGTCAGCAAACTGCAAAGCTTGAATGTCCTCTGCCAGGAGTACAAGGAGTTTTTATAGAACTGATGTTATGGCAGCTGTTTCAACCACACCATTCTCATGTTACACTTAGAAAATTAATTTAGGCAACAATCAAACGGATACTTAACTATCTTGATTCTGCTCCAGATTATTAGCTACCCATTTTGCTGTCTGGAAGACAAGACTACTTAACTAAAAGGTGTTGTTTGATGTGACTCACCAGTCTGACATGTAGATGCTGTCGCACTATCTGGCCCTGTGGCATAGTAGGCTGGGGCTTATAACTCATTGGGTATTGCTTGTCCAGTCCCATCATGCCAGGCATGCCTCCCTGCATGGCGGACATCATGCCTGGGTAGTTGGGCCGGGTGGGCATCATTTTGTTCATCTGTGGGTTGCGGGTAGGTCTGTATGGAGGTTCTAAACCTGGACCTCCTGTTGAGAAAAAAACAAAAACAAATGACAAACCATATTCCCAGATGGCATTGAAGATATTGGGTTTTTTTATTTGTTTCAATATGCACTGCACTGACCTGGAGGTAGCGGCTGATTCTGTGTGTACATGCTTATGGTCTGCTGACTGTAGGGCAGCCTGCCATATGGGTGGTTCTGCATCAGCTCAGGTGGCATATTAGCCCCATAGTTCATACCGCCTGATGTACGGTTCACATAGTCCTGGTGAGAATAACGGGCAAAATGTTTCACTGTTTAAACCTGAGGGTAGCAACATACTATAGGTCCAAGCATCAACTATGTCAAGAATGCCTCTCAGTAAAACCACATAATTCTAAGATCATTCATTAGAGTCATAACTGACCTCTGTCTTGGTGGAGGGAGTTTTCTTCTTCTTGTTAGATTTCTTCTTGTTTGTGTCAGAGGGCACAGCAGGCACACTCTTCTCTGGTTTCACAGCCTCCATCATCTTCTTCTCTGGTTCTTGGGAGACGGGCGTAAGGGGCTCCTCCTCTTCAGGGGGCAGGGGAAGAGGCTCCAGGTAGTAGCTACGAGGTTTGGGCTTCAGGTGGGTGTGGTACAGTAGGAAACGCTGCTGCTCTTCAAATTTGGTGACCTTGCGGTCCACACGTACCGTACCAAACCAGCCCCAGGAGAGAGGGGCAGAGTGTTTGAGACCCTCAAAGACGTCCCAGGGAGAAATCTTCTGTTTGGTTGATACTTGAAGGCCCTGATGGAACCAAGGCACAGCAGTTCTAATTAACTCAAGATAAGCATGTGCAGGTTATTTTCAGAAAAACAACGTTGCAGGTTTGTTAACAGCAGTAGCAAAATTTAAATGCACTAACTCAGAGCTGACTCCATGGTATGTATTCAGTCTACCCTTGACAGCTGCTCTTGATTTAATGTGACTTATTCACTTCTATTTAGAAGCTGCATTATTTTTC